GTTTAATGCTGTTATTAATACTAAAATTCATCAATTTTACGGTACCAGAACCAAAACGTTAGGTAATTTCCAAAAATATACAGCTTGGCAGTCGCTTAAAGCTACTATTTAAGGGCATATGCTCAAGTAACAATGTCGAATTGAGGAATAGATTTTATGAAGAGCTTCTCCTATAGATGATTACCTTAAGGGTCTCACGTTTATATTCTTCAGTAAGGAGTCTGTGCCTTATTTCATCGCACTATTGTCAGTTCCTACCTTCATTACTTTGTAGGTCAAACACTTTAAAGACATAGATGCCGATACCATTCCTTTGTGCAGTTTTATGTCATCAATATACATATCCCAGGGGAAAATATATCGGCTGTTTGTGCTCGACAAAGTCAAAAATCGAAACGATGTGACGTCCTCTAATCTTGATCAAATCAACTTACAACAAGCATATAATTTAAGGGAAGTCTAGTCTATACTGTGGCAGTTCTTCAGGATGTAATATGAACTCCTTCCTATCACAGTGTTTGCATTTCATCCTCCCATACTGTGTCATTATGTTGAGGACGATACAGGTATTCAGTGTTTGACAACGCTTCTACCAGTAACACCTTCTAATATAACTAGTACCCACCGAGAGAAATCAAAATGCAGAGACGAGGAGATCGGAAGAGTGTATTTGGCGATAACCAATATATCGGGATTCTCTGATCTAATCTGGCTAGCGATTGCGGTAGATGTTGAGCACAGCGTTACAACACGTGATCTGGTGCGGATGCATGACCGAGCGCCTTCAGGTAGATTAATCCACTAAAACATATGGTCAGCATCCAATGTCGAAAACTTACAGAGCTATTTAGTTTGGGGATTTATTTACCGCTACAGATTACTCCCCCCCCTTAGTGGGACAGTGATGACCTTAAGATGTGGCCAGCCAGAAGTTTAAACCCAATGAGTTCGCCGTTGGTAAACACTCTTCTGATAGCTTACTAAATTTAGCAGTGTCTGGTCGTCTTTCCTTAATATATGGGACCGAGGTACAACATAGTAAAAAAAAGAAAAAAAATGGTCGTCGATGTGCATCTCGACGAACGAAAACGTGTGTACTATATTGTAAGTCAGGTTGAACGAAAACATCGGTGGATTGTGGTCGTGTGGAAGCAGGTTTAACTGGACGCATTGCTTTTGTAAGCCTGTTCGTGTGGGAGGTTAGATCCATGTTCATTGAAGAGGATGAAGGATCCACGAATTCTCCTGGAAGTCGAAGTGTCGTTCCATAAACGAGTTGAGCTGCAGTGTATCCAATGTCAGCTTTCACTGCATTGCGGATACATAGTAAGACGAGTGGAAGAGCGTCGGTCCACTGTGGAACGTTTGCAGCTGATAGTGAATCTTTTAGTTGTCGGTGAAAACGTTCTACCAACCTGTTTGCTTGTGGGTGGTAGGCGGTCGTTCGGAAGCAAGTGCTTCCTAATAGTGTGGTCAGACTCAAACTGACGTCCGCGGTCTGTAGTGATGGTTGAAGGGCAACCGAAGTTTGTTACCCATCGTTCGACGAAGGTGCGGGCCACTGTTTCAGCAGTGATGTCCTTGATAGGTACTGCTTCTGGCCATCGAGTGAAACGATCTACACAGGTTAAGAGGTAAGAGTATCCATTTGAATCTGGTAAAGGTCCTACCAAATCCAGATGAACATGGTCGAAACGAGCATCGGGAGTTTTAAATGAGCCTAAGGGACATTTATTGGTCTGATGACATTATCATTCGCGCGAATCATCGGTTTATGCAGTCGAGCGAATCTCCTGCAAACTGAAAACGACATTGTCGTCTCTATCCCAACACTGACAGTGTTTTTCTTTGGTATCATTGACATGAGTCCAGAGCGATACTCTTGGTTTCTTATGTTCTTTTCGATATTTTTCTGTTCACTAACCAAACAAACACGCAGCACTCACCGTTTATCATCTTTTAGAGACTTCATCGTGCCACCTTTGCTGTCGATTTGTAGCCTTCAACCCTTACTGACTGTAACAGCAGTCATCGACTTTTCAAACTATGACTACAAGTTGGTCAATAGCTTCACACAACGAAATCACGACCACTCTTCACGGTTATACTTTTGTACTTACGGTTAGTCCGTTAGATATAGATATAACTAGAATTCGACACTAATTAATAGCTGTCAAAGACACTGTCCGACTTACATTTTTAATCTAATGACAGTACAAACAAGGACATCGATTGTTAATACACTTGTCCTACTATCGCTATAGCATCATTACTCTTGCAGCAGACTAAACGTTTGTCATCAGAGGAACTGAATTACTTGTCAAGGCTATATATTTCAGCGCGACTTGATAGCACAATAAAACGTTTTGTTCTTTTCATTATTTCTATGGTTAATCAGTTTGCGTTTAAGCAACGTCCTACTAACATATTATGACTCGCTGTTTCCCGACGAGTCTTACAGATAAGCAATACCTGGAGGATTTATAATATTCGTTTGGCACTCTCCGGCGCGCGACTGCTCCTGACATGTTTGGTACCGATTCAAACGGCCGTTGAATCTGGTGGGGGAGTATTGTAGGGCCAGTGAAATGTCACTGAGCCCTAGCCGAATGATCCGGCAGTTGGATCACTGAATGTCGAACAGATCATCGCTCCCTGCCAAGGTCATGTACGACCAACGCGCATTAGTTAATCATATGCCATGGACTGGCCCATGCGGCAGTGGTCTTACATTCGCTTGTATTTACTTTAACTAATATATTACTGTAATAACGTCCTCTGTGTTGTACAGTCTTCAAAGCGTCTATGGTACCTTGATACGTCGATGGGGTAGTCCACGTAAGGTGCTGACTATGAGGTTTGACTTCGACATTAGCTAGTTTGTCACATCATTCACGTCTAACTCGAGTGGGCCTCCAATCATTTCGACATAGATCATCTACGTTGGTTATCTACACTGGTGAGCCTGACGTGATCGACACACGTGCACAATTCCTCGCAGTAGTCAAGGCACTACCGCGCGAATTCAACAGGTAAGTAACACCTAGTATGTTTACTAGTGATGTTCCTGAACCTTAAGAAATCCTAAAACGTTTGATTCCTAAACCGATCGACAAAGGTTAGATCAACTCTTCAATAACATCGACCTGCAACACGGTTCTGCGACGGACATGTTGCAACGAATGGCCTAGGAACTTTCGACGAAGGCCTATTCAAACAACTTTTCTCGTCTAAACTTCCTCAACAGGTGCAAACTGTGCTTGTCTCGTTTCAAAACAACGCCTTAGACGAGCTAGCTGCATCTGCCGATCGTATTTTAGAAATAACGAAATCGTCTATTACAGAGGTATTTTCAGTCAAAGAAAAGCCTCAAACGACTCAGAATGATATAACCGAGTTATGTCATATACTCACGCGTTATCTTAATCTTCGTAACGACCGTAATCGCTCACACAGCCCACGTAGAAGCATTTCACGTAAACGATCTGTCTCTAGTCCACGAGAGACGGATAATCCCGACTGGTGCTGGTATCATAACCAGTATGGAAAGTCTTCCAGAAATTGCAGAAAACCCTGCAATTTTCCCAACACGAAACCGACTGACTCGAAAAACAACTCGGGAAACTTCCAAGCCGGCACGCGTTAACGGCAACCGTAGCCGGCGAACATAGCCGTCTGTTGTACGTCACAGATGTGACAGCGAGAATTCGCCACCACGTCGACGCTGGCGCAGTAGTTAGCATTCTCTCAGCAAATCATAACGATCGGCTCCACGAATCAACTCTAAACTTACAGGCGGCAAATGGAAAACCGATCGCTGCATATGACAAAAAGGTACGTTTACCTTAACGTGGGTTTACGCAAACCTATTCATTGAATTTTCGTTGTTGCAGATGTTTCTATGCCAATCCTTGGTATGAATCTTCTACAACACCATAATCTGATCATCGACACGCGCAAACGGAGGCTAGTAGACGGAAACACTAATTTATCCGTTTGCGTAACTTCTTTTACTGGTTGTAGATTATCCCCAGTCACAGTTAAGCATATGATAGACCCACTCTACCCTGGGATACAACAAACTCAACCGAAGCTACCGTGTGTAACCAGCAACGTTAAACATCACGTCGGGCTCACCAATGAGGATGATACAGGTATTCAGTGTTTGACAACGCTTTTACCAGTAACACCTTCTAATAAAACTCGTACCCACCAAAAGAAATCAAAAGACAGAATCGAGGAGATCAAAAGTTGTGTTTGACGATCGCCAATATATCGGAATTGTCTGATCTAGTCTGGCTAGCGACTGTGGTAGATGTTGAGCACGGCGTCCCCACACGTGCTCTGGTACGGATGAATGACCGAGCGCCTTCAACTAGATGAGTCCACTAAAACTAATCTGGTCAACATCCATTGCCGAAAACCTACAGAGCCATTTGTTTTGGGGATTTATTTACCGCTACAAGATAATCAAACAGAGAATAATTACACAACAATGTTATGGAAGTTGGAAAGATAATACGCAAACTAGCAAACATTTAAAGCTTACGGAACTTTTCTGCAAATCACCAGATTTGTAAGTAATTGTAGCACTAGAAAAATTATGGACGCCATTGATTTGAGGTTTGAGTATTAAGGCATGAGTGACGTTCGAGGAGGCAGGTATAACAGGCCACCGTGCAGAAGGGCTCCCATGAATCAGCGTAAATTCTGTTTCGGCAAAGATATCGAATAGCTCAACATCTTTGGCAGCGCGGCTAGTTGAAGGATACTGTGTAACCAGGCTAATCGACTTTCTTAATGACTGGCTAGCATGAGTAATCTGAGTATTAAACATCATACATTAATATTAAAATGTTACAAGCGTACAACTCGGAACCACTACCGAAAACCCCTGTCCATGGAATTCAATCAACTAATCTTTACGTTATCTTTGACCTTGAAATTGTTCGACAGACTGTCCGATGTTCAGTGATATGTCGTCTCACTTAGAAACGTTTCAGCCTGATGAATTATCTTTTTGGGGCTCGGTGACACCTTACTGAGTCCACACATTTGGCTCGATGCCTCACTCATTCTGTGACCTAACGCCCTGTGAGTTCCCTGATGCCGTTCGATCAGTCTTCCTAAGCCCTATTCTTACCATTCTTAGTCGGATCTCATAAACACAATGACAACACACCTCCAAAACCAATCTTCTTAGAAGCTATAAGTTTTGAACACAAAATTTTGTCAATTTACCCCTTTTTGACAGAGAGGCTGATTAGGAGCATATTTATTTTATTGCGTTTTTGTATACATTAAAAATATTATCGTATTACACATGAGTGACCTTGCCACGTAGTGCACCTGGCTTGGGGGTATTTTGAAGTATGTTCAACGTGATGAGGCTTGGTTTAGCTATCCTTTTGGTTGTTTATTTGGTTGTCCTGGTGTCTTCAGATTCTGTGGACAATGTACGACTGGCGGTCTCCAAAGAAATCTTGAATGAGTTTGTCTTTCAGGAAAAAGAAATCACTATTCTATACACAATATATAATTTCCATGAGTCGTGAGTTTTAATGTCTTTATACTCGCAAGTTATTCTTTTCAAGTAATTTTACACATTTAAATTTTGCTCTTTATGCTGCAGCTATTCTACTAATATTTGTCGGATTTTGAAATAGTGTGCAAACAGGTATGATTTAGCATATGAAAGTTGTGTATTTGATAATTGGGGCCACCTTTTGGGTCATGCGTTCTCCTTGAGGTAGTGTATTATTAGAACATTCGGTTCGTCCTTTTACAGAGAAAATACTCGTCTCAATTCTTGCATTGTTCTTGTTTCTGATTTAGTTGTGACGAGAAGTTAAACTACTTTTTGTAAGTATAGTATCCTCATATATGAGGACAAATTGAGGAAATAGACAACTGTAGGAGAAATGTAATCTGAGGGTTGAGAAAACGAGTTACTAGGTAAGGATTGAATTCAACCCGTAAAGTAGCTTCTTTATTGATAAAACACTAAATGCGAGGAAAAGAGAGCGAATTCTATATTAGATTTGGAGTGTTGCGTATAACAGTAAACGCTTTATAACTGCCACCTCCCTTCTCGTGGTTCAATGGTTCTATCGATCTGAGATTATGTTTTTGGTATTAAATACAAAAATGTAATTAGTTCAGTTTTAGTAGTCTTTTCATTCATTTACGTCATCCTCTCGCGTTTTCATAGCTTTAGTTATCTTATTTCGGGAGTTATGTATCATCCGTATTAAGTGATTGTTTTGTTCATATTGGCCTTTGACACATTCTTGACTAATTCAGGTCGAAACTACGTTACTTTTACTTGATTTTCTTTCCATGTTCGCATTTGGACAGACTAATTTTTTTAAATATTATAATTATACCTAGTCGTCCCCTAATACATAAACACATGCTGTTGTCCTTCTACACAGCCGCGCTGCCAAAGATGTTGAGCTATTCGATATCTTTGCCGAAACAGAATTTACGCTGATTCATGGGAGCCCTTCTGCACGGTGGCCTGTTATACCTGCCTCCTCGAACGTCACTCATGCCTTAATACTCAAACCTCAAATCAATGGCGTCCATAATTTTTCTAGTGCTACAATTACTTACAAATCTGGTGATTTGCAGAAAAGTTCCGTAAGCTTTAAATGTTTGCTAGTTTGCGTATTATCTTTCCAACTTCCATAACATTGTTGTATAATTATTATCTGTATAATTCGTTTCGGTGTTTTACGTTTCCGATTGATGCATAGAATAGGTGTTGTCATCTCTTAGTATATGTAAGGTATTAAGAAAAGTTTTGGCTCTTTCAAAATAATTTTTTTTGAGGGTTACATGTAGTTTCATATCGTTCTTGTCGAAATATCTAATAAAAGTTTCTAACAGATGGACATCCTTGAAATTACTCGATATTGGTTCGTAAGTTTTCAGCGAAACCAAATCTAAAGAATCTAGCAAAAAGTATTGAGTACATTAAAAACAAATATTCTTATCATTAACATTCGATTGTATTACTGGTTACATGAAAAACACTGACGAAGTATAAATATTTACAAACACTTACAAATCATCCAGACCAATGTTTAGTATTATTATTGACGCCATGAAAATGGCGGGAACAGTCAGTTGTGGGTTTGCGAAACGTCCCGCTTATAAGCACTGGGTTTCTTCTGGTTCCTTACAACTCATTGAAGCCCGTCGGTCTACTTCGGGTGAACGTGAGTTTGACCAAAAACGAAGGATGTTACGTAAGGAAATTGGGCAAAGCTTGCGTAAGGACAGAGAAGCCTGGTGGTCGGAGCGTGCTAATGAGCTGGAAGCAGTAGCTGCATCTGGTAACTACCGGAAGCTCTTCCAGCTCATCCGAGCCACTGGAAGCAAGAAGTCTGGTGTGAGTGAAACAATCTGCGAGGATGATGGGATGCCGATCACTAACATCCATCGACGTCTTGGACGATGGGCAGAATTTTTCGAAGGGCAGTTCAACTGGCCTGCTGCTCCGGCAACATCGGTCAGACTGTCCTGCCCTCCATGGCCGGTGACGACTGATCCACCAAACGAGGAGGAAGTCCGCAAGGAACTCGAACTCTTGAAGCGTTACAAATCACCTGGCCCAGATGACTTTTTGACTAAGGAATTGACGACGTTGTTTACAAAGGTTTGGGAATTAGAGAGTGTACCAACGTCATGGAATGAGTCGATAGTTGTCCCTATCTTTAAAAAGGGTTCACGTCGTTCCTGCAACAACTATCGGGGGATAAGTCTACTTCCGATTGCGTCCAAGCTATTGGCTTCCGTCATACTTCGTAGGTTGTTCAAAACCCGAGAAAGATTGACTCGCGAGGAACAAGCTGGGTTTCGTTCTGGTCGAGGATGTATTGATCATATCTTCACCCTCCGCCAAATGTTAGAACATCGCCATACTTATCAAAGGCCAACAATCGTAGTGTTTCTTGACATCAGGGCTGCCTTCGATTCGTTGGACAGGACTGTTCTCTGGGATTGTCTATTGAAGAAGGGTGTGCCTGAGAAGTTTATTAACATCCTAAAAGCCCTATATAAAAACACCTCAGGCAGAGTAAGGGCATACAACCACCTCTCTCCATTGTTCCATCCGAGTAGTGGGGTTAGGCAGGGTTGCCCAATCTCACCATTCCTCTTCACCTTTGCCATCGATGACATTCTGGAAACAGCTCTGATGAATGTAAGTAATGGTGGTGTGGATTTGTTGCCTGAAGAAAGACTTCTCGACCTTGAGTATGCGGACGATATTGTCTTACTGTGCGATAATGCCCAAGGCATGCAATCCGCACTTAATCAGTTGGCAATCAGTGTCCGTAGGTATGGTATGTGCTTTGCACCTTCGAAGTGCAAAGTACTTCTACAAGACTGGCAGGATTCCAATCCTGTACTCACCCTGGATGGTGAGCAGATAGACGTAGTCGAGAAGTTCGTGTATCTGGGTAGCTGCATAAGTGCTGGTGGGGGTGTGAGTGATGAGATCAATGCACGTATAGTGAAAGCCAGAGCGGCTTATGCCAATCTGGGCCACCTTTGGCGCCTTCGTGATGTTAGTCTGGCTGTAAAAGGTCGGATCTACAACGCGTCGATGAGAGCAGTTTTGCTCTATGCTTGTGAAACCTGGCCTCTCCGAGTTGAGGAGGTTAGACGACTCTCTGTGTTCGATCATCGCTGTCTCCGAAGGATTGCTGACATTCAGTGGCAACACCATGTCAGTAATGCAGAGGTTCGGCATCGTGTGTTCGGGCACAGAGATGATAATTCAATTGGTGTCACCATCTTGAAACACCGACTTCGGTGGCTTGGACATGTTTTACGAATATTGTCCCAGTGAATCCCACGTCGTGCATTATTTGCCGACGCTGGGACTGGTTGGAAGAAGCGGAGAGGTGGGCAGTGTATGACATGGTGTCGTGGTATAAAAGAAAGCTGCAAAGGGCTGACTTCTGTCGGTCCTTCACGACTCCCTGGTTGGGGTCCGAAAGATGGTGCTACACAGTGGCTAGAGACGTTATTAGATATGGCTCAGAATAGAAGACAGTAGAGATCCTGTTGTAACCTTTTACTTCACAAAAGATGGTTGTATCTTCCTTAACTGAAAGATTTCTTCTGATTGTACCTTTTCATTTCCGCCATTATTATTATTATTATTATTATTATTATTATTATTATTATTATTATTATTATTATTATTATTATTATTATTACACCACCTTACACTAATCTGTTTTCGTTCGTTTTTTTACTCTCCTTACCTTCTTTTTTTTCTCTTCGAATTCTCATTGTTTTGTGTGGCGCATATATATTTGGTGCCCTCTTGTACCAATATTTATGTGTTCAAATAAATAAATTTTATTTATTTATAAATAAATAAATATAGTCGGATGAATTTATTTCAGGCATTCACTTACTCGGACAGATAGAAAGATGAAAAGCGAAGCGGAGAAGAAGAACGTGCCAACTCAGTATCTTGCCCATTACAAGCGTTAATATGATTGAAAATAGATCATATGTAGTGTCAAAAAGAACCAGTAACCGGATAAAATAGTAACCGTACTAACGACACACAAAATGTAGAACTACAAGGGCATAGATGTATGCGGGAAGTCCTACTCACTGCCGTCTCGCGGCGAGGTGTTGTTCACGAAAGTGAAAGGAAAAAAAGCCAATTTCGGGCGCTTTAACCGGGTTGATGGACACGGTGAGTCCACCTAGGGGAGTTGGAAAACCCTGATCCCAAACCAATGGTTCACATGGGCTCCAAGATCCTGAGGGAACAAATGGTGTATAAACTAATTATTGGTCACCGGCTACCATGGGAATGCATCTCCTTACGTTGCTTCACTGCCTTGTTGATTGATTCTTTACATCGAAGGCTCCAGATGTGGCCCGTAAGAAAACCACCTGCTTCGGTTTGGCCACCCGGGCAGTATCCTACTTACTTACTTACTTACGCCTGTTACTCCTCGTGAAGGAGCATAGGCCGCTCACCAGCATTCTCCATCCAACCCTGTCCCGGGCAATCCTTTCTAGCTCCGTCCAGTTGTAATTCATCGTTTTCATATCTGCTTCTATTATCCGACGCAATGTGTTCTTTGGCCTTCCTCTTTTTCGCTTCCCTTCAGGATTCCAAGTTAGCGCTTGCTTCGTGATGCAGTTTGACGATTTGCGTAATGTATGTCCTATCCATTTCCATCGTCTTTTCCTAATTTCTTCTTCAGCTGGAAGTTGGTTTGTTCTCTCCCACAGAAGGCTATTGCTCATGGTATCCGGCCAACGGATGTTGAGTATCTTGCGTAGACAGCTATTTATAAATACTTGTACCTTCTTGGTTGTGGTTGTTGTAGTTCTCCAAGTTTCAGCTCCATACAGTAGAACTGCCTTGACGTTGGTATTGAAGATTTTCACTTTGATATTGGTTGAAAGTTGTTTTGAGTTCCATATGTTTTTTAACTGTAGGAATGCTGTCCTTGCTTTGCCAATCCTTGCCTTTACGTCTGCATCTGAACCTCCATGTTCATCGATGATGCTTCCTAGGTATGTGAAGGACTCTACATTTTCCAGAGTTTCGCCATCGAGAGTGATTGGATAGTTGTTTTCCGCTTTGAATTTGAGGGGCAGTATCCTAGCCCTCACACAAATCGAAGGATTTGTCTGTCTCATATCTTTCGGTGCTTCTTCTTACCGATGTTTATGTGTTTAAGTAATAAAAAATAATGTAAGAGGTATGTGCTGAAAGTCTTAACTTTTTCCTATGAAAAGAATAGATTTGTTATATAGGTAAAAGTAATTAAATAGTCACATGGTGTCTGAGTTATGAAAGGTCCGAAACCTAGGATAAATAATGTGTGGACTAGTATAATCTAAAATGTTATTAAAGGCCTTATTACGCTTGGTCAACAAGTATGGCACGAAATATATCGATCTACCGAAGAAAACAGAATGACTAGGTTTATTTCCTAGCACAAGTAAACATCTCGCTCAGATCACAAGATACTGTCGTAAAGTTAGCTAACAGTAAAGCAACCTAGAATATACTTGTAGTCTGTTTAGCGCTTGCGTGTTGAGTCACGAAATGTGAGAACACTTTAATAAGCAGGACCAGATCTGGTACCCTTCATACTTAAGTTTTCATCGAATACAGAGGGGAATTGTTCTAATAGTTACATTTTTCTCGTGACTGGTTAACCTTTTTTATGAAATAAAATAATGTTTATACATGCTAAATAAAAACACTCTATTTTTCTCTGTAGTTCTTGTATTCTTCCTCACCTGGTCTGCTTACAATTCACAGACTGAAGGAGTATAACAAGCGTTTCACTTCTCATACAGTTAGTAAAATTTTCACTGGTCGTTGTATAATATATGTTATGGTCTTTTTGTCTTCATTTAATTTGTTATAATTTTTCTTATTATGACCCAGCTATTCCTATTGTTTAATACTCTTAGATACTTGATTAATCCCCGAATCATAAGACGGTTGAGCAGGAATGAAAATATATTCCAAATAACAAGGGTAGATGGAAGTACGAAGCACAATAAGAAAAACATTAGTACATTTATAGTTTTTACAAGAGAAGACTCCAGTCTTCTCCAAATATCCACTAGCGCTGATTGGTTAAGAAACAGCCAATCAGTGTGTCCCAACATAATTCTGCACGTTACGTGCTTTGATCCAATCTATATTCCGCTAACAATTTCATTTAAGATTATTCTGTAGATAACGCAATCAAATATTATCATTTTTAAAGCTGTAAAACTTATGTCCACAGTACATCATTACAGTCATTAATGAACACACTATATTACATCTAAAATATATTACGCAGTGAATAAATGTACTAAAAAAGTGTAGAAATGGTGAGACTATAATTTGGGTACGACCTTTGAGTGACGTTAACTGACCTTGAGGATGTCCACTTACTAGCTAGGACCAAATGAGGGTTATAAAATATGGTGAGGAACTAGAATTAAGATTTACTGTTGATGGTTGGAGTTAGGAATTCGATTTACGGTTTCCATCACTAATGGATATCAGCCATAATGCCAAATTGATATTTTGGCAATTGTATGGATAAATTTTGCGCCAAAATCCAAGACTCGTCATCTTATATCTGACTGCTTCGTACATTAATTATAGTCTCGTGGAAATTAAGGACGTTCAGTGTACTCGTTCTATTTAATATGAAGTGAATTCTGAATTCATTTGTTTTCGAAAGCAAGTAATTTCAAGGTTTATCGTCATTTTATCAGTTAAGGTTTATTCTTAATCTAACATTTTATCACTATGTGCCATTCTACTTCGTTAATAAAACGAATCCACTGCGTTCCAATAATACAATTTTATTTGCATACTTCAACTAAATTTATTAAAGGTGTGTTCGTATTGATAAGTTTAGGTATGTAACCAGACGGATTCATTCTTCAATTCTACTCGTTCTACGTGGACTATATTTCTTGTAGTTCACTTTCTGCTTTATTTGATATTACTTTCTCACTTCTAATCTTGTCAAGTTCCTCTCTTGCTGCGCTAATGAGATGTGGCAGCTTGGGTCGAAATAGATTCATACCACGTCCTACGTTATTTATGACTGGCTTATCGACTGATTATCTCGGTATGAGAACTTGTAATCATATGTAAGAATGAAATGCTCCGCTTTCTGATAACACTTTACTTTTACACAAGTAGTTATTTGTCTCAAAAGTTTGCATCGTTTACCGGGAATTCTCTAAAATTATTTATTAGGAAAAGTGGTTTCATAAATATACATCAGTATTTGTGTTGCTTTTCTTTTCCTTCTTTCAACAGATTGAGTGGATTGGTTTCGCTTTGTTTGTTACACCGTGCTTACTGATACCATATATGCTGTGGCGCTCAAGTGCATCAAAATACTAGCTCTTTACAGTACTCTTCCTCATTTGTATATTTCTTCTCACGCTGTATTTCGTTTCTTTGTATCCATTATATGTATGTTATGTATTTAAAGAGTATGAAACGTATTTGGTAAATAAATAGAAAAGCGTATGCTAGTAATACTGTGGGCATATTATATTGTATTTCAAAGCATAATAAGTAAATAACTTCAATCTTAGGCCAAAGCACGGATTGACTCAGTTTCGTTTTGATTATTTTTCTAACATTTTCGGATTGATTTAACGAGAAGACGAAAAAGAATTTTACATTCGTCTTTGTATTATTCTTGACTGCCTTGTTCGGTTGGTCTCTGATCATTTGGTTGACCAACCTTTTTCGTTTGGTTTAGCGGACCGAATATTTGTCGATATGTTTGACTACCGGTTGGTTTGAATGCCATATTTCTAGAAATCCTTAAAATTTTATTGATCCTGGAATTCAGCGTTTTCCGTTTGGATTGTTGCTCATAATTGTATACGTGCGTTAATATGATTACATATGTTTCACTCCTAATCCGCATGTGAGTAACTGAAGAAGGGGTTCAGTCTAGTATTTTTTTTTCTCGATTGGTACAATTCGCTTCGTAAATGGTGTTGCATTTGTTTGCTTTAGCTGCCGTATATTTGGCTGTCAACATGTTGTTCCCGAAGTTAGTGAGTGTTCACTTTCCTTGAAATGATCCCATACCTTCATGCTTTCATGACCTTTTCCTGGAAAGTAGTACTCACTGCCGTCAGATTTTGGGGGATGTTTTAACGAAAGTGAGAGTAAGAAGAGTTGGCGTTGAACTGCAAACACGAGAGGACCAAGCTGGCTTCAGACCTGATCGTGGCTGCATCGACCACATATTCACTATTCGTCAGGTTCTAGAACATAGGCATACGTATCGGCGTCCGACAATGGTGGCCTTTCTTGATTTAAAAGCAGCATTTGACTCTGTAGACCGCGAGATTCTGTGGCAGTGTCTGTCATTGAAAGGCGTACCCCAGAAGTACATAAACCTTGTGAAGGCTCTTTACTCGAACATTACCAGTCGAGTGAGAGCTTATGGCGAACTGTCATCTACTTTTGCAACATCAAGTGGTGTCCGTCAAGGATGTCCACTTTCCCCATTTTTGTTTAACTTCATCATAGACCTATTGATGAAAATAACATTCTCGTCGACTGAATTCTCGGGTATTGATCTTCTTCCAGGAGGTTCACTTATCGACTTTGAATACGCAGGTGACATAGTCCTGTTTGGTGAAGACGCTGATAGAATGCAGAGTCTTCTGGTAGCACTGAGCAACAATGCCAGGATGTTTGGAATGCGCTTCTCTCCCTCGAAATGCAAGTTGTTGCTTCAGGACTGGTCTGCGTTTACACCTGAACTAAGGATAGGGAGTGAAGTAGTCGAACGCGTTGACAACTTCACTTATCTTGGAAGTCTGGTCAGCCATAATGGGCTGGTATCGGACGAAATCTCAGCACGGATTCGAAAAGCTCGTTTGGCTTTTGCCAACTTACGTCACCTGTGGCGAAGGCGAGATATCCGTCTATCAATAAAAGGACGAGTATACTGCGCGGCAGTCCGTTCTGTTTAACTTTACGGCAGCGAAACATGGCCATTAAGAGTAGAAGACACTCGTAAGCTACTAGTATTTGACCACAGATGCCTTAGAAATATTGCTGGCGTCTGCTGGGATAATCGGGTAAGTAATAGTGAGGTTAGACGCAGGGTATTAGGGAAGGATGGTAAATCAGTTGATGAGGTTGTGAATCTCCGTCGACTGAAATTGTAGGAAGCAATTTTCTACAGATTCAACTTTAAGCTAATCTCTAGACTGTCGAGTACAGAGTCTTGGTTTAGCCAAAGTCAGAACAAGCAAGCTATTTGGCTAGATAAACTTTATCTGTTTCTAAAACATAAATTAACATCGTTAGTGTACAAACAAACAGTACGGTCTATTAATACAGGGAAAAACAGACAAATAACGTACCGAACAGTAGCCACAGAATAGGGAAAATGAGTCAACAAGCAAATATTGTTTTACAATGAACATCAAATTGTGATTGGTTAATAAAAAGATACAGTCGTACGAGGTCAAAAGGAGCTAATGTGGTGGTGGGCGTTTCACTTATTATTGGTGGGTACGTCTATCGATCACACTTTACAGAGATGGTTGGGCCACGTGTTACGTATGCCTGAACACCGATTACCACGACGTGCAATGCTAACCGGTGTTGGAGATGGTTGGGAGAAAGTAAGGGGCGGCCAAACCAAAACGTAGCATCAGTGCTTGAAGTCACTAACTTTTAGTCTGAGCCATGTAGGTAGATACAGACTACTTGGTTGGGGTCCGTGTGACTATCGTACCCAATGGTTGGAGACTCTTGGTGACATGGCTCAGAATCGATCACAATGGCGTCAGTGTATACACTATCTATCTTCCCTTAAACCAAGAGATTAAAATCGCTTCATATCTTTCTTTCGTCCTGTACTATATCCTTATTTCAATCTTTCTTTTATATATTACCACAACTGAACTAATTACTTTTATTAATCCGATGTCCATCTTGTTGTGCTAATGAGGTGTGGCAACTTGGACCGATGTATATATGTGCCTGGCTCTACGTTGTAGCTGGCTGACTGACTGATATGCATGAGCTTTAGGATCCCTAAGAAACGGAGGTCGTGTGAACTTTAGTCACTTGCTGCTATCCGACGATGTGACATAGTTTTATTGTTTCGTCCGTTAGATCTATAGATCAAAGGCTCAGAAACCGATCCCTTGAGCAGGTCATTTTCGTTGTGGGAGCCCGGGTATTATCTCAGTGTATACGTATATAATAGTAGGCAATTAGGAGTTAAGTGTTCTACCATACTGGATTTGCTCTAATAATAACTTATCTTCCGGTTTGAAACGGTTACATCGTTTTGGTGACATAGAATTGCTAGGGCTTCAAGATATCTGTTTTCTGAGATGATTTTCATGTGGCAGGACTGTCCGTTCTCGGATTTCTGGGGTTGGTTTCTCATTGGTCGATCGGTTCAGTTTTTGCCTATTGAGAGATATAGAGATTCTCTGTTTATTTTTAATGCGAATGTACACAACCCTGATTGTACGTTGGTTGTTTGCTGAAGTTTAGTATGTGGTCTATGTGACAGGTCCCTGTATACTTGTGCTTCTAGTGATCCTATATTTATTCTGCTGATTAATATATCTAGGAATGAGACTTTGTTTTTTAATTCTTCTTTACATTTGATGTTGAAGACGTTGATCACCCGCGAGAATCTACTTTGTTGGGATTATATTCGTAATTTCCTGATTTTATTTTCTCAGTTAGTATGTTTTACTACTAAATTAAGTAGATGTGGCTATTGTTTCCGTTGTGAGTTCGTATTTTACTTTATCTGTCAAGTTCCGGACATCAGTAAAATCATAAACCGTCTCATAAAATTTATATCTCTGTTGCACCAACATGAGTGTCACTTTTGAGTAGAAGCTTATGCCTTACGTGACTGATTTAGCAGTTGTGTTCACTAGAAATTTAGAAAATAATTAATAAGTTAATACGATAAAACTGTTTACATTGGCTAACTTAACAATGTGGCGATGATGTTGATGTAAACGAAGGCGATGTATTCAGAAAAATCATAGACAAATATGGGATCGCGAATCATATCAAAGAAAGACAATCAGAATAACGAGGTAGGCAATGACAGGTTGAAGGTCAACAATAACCTCTTCTACCTGTAGTTTAGGCTGATGATGTTCATAAAAACGATGAAAGCTCCATGACCAAACCATACAGTTTAGAGGACGAAATTCCACCCAAATCATTCACCCGAACAGTGATTCTCCACGATTTTGCATATTTTGAGTCGTCTGATTACTTTATTCGGTCTCGCTATTGGTTTGAAATATGCGTCCTTACTAACTTCAAGTGACTCTTGGTTCTTGTACTCTTTGATTCATGGGTTTATTAATGTTTTGTTGGAAGATCTGTAGAAAACGTAGTGCAGGTAACATGAACTCTTTATGATGAGACCACGAATGTATGTATTGTCTTGGCTTACTGAGCATAATTTTAGGGTCCCATCCGACATCGTTTCAAATGATTTACTACTTCCGTCATACTACTTCACTTATCCAAGTAGTATATTCTTCATTTACAAATATGGATAAGTCCTCAGGTTTGTCACACCTTTTTACAAAAGTATTCAAACTTTACACAGTGTATATGAACATTTAGTGATGGATTTGATGTATTCTAAAATAAATTACTCTGGCATTATGGTGACGCTTTCTATTTAACCTTCCGGGTACTTTTGAAGATTTAAATCTATTGCGAAATGGAGAAAATATAAATCTCAAAATTTCGATCATTTATAAATCACACTCAATAAAATTAATGAAATATCAGTATGTCTACCATAGAGAGAAATGGGGAAATAGTAGCTTAAGGTTTGTCTTTTTGAAAAACTAATGTCAACACACTTTCAGCAAAAGAAGCTTAATCAATTTGTTATAGAATATGAAACCAGCAAAGAGATTATATCCTGTATCAATAAGTGTAGATCATAACAAGACAAAATCTCTCCAATATTTACTGTCGGAACTGCAGCATACAATGGCGCAGTAAGGCAAGCTGAATATCATTTATAATGTATGTGAACAAATAATCCATTCTCTTCACTTTCGATAGCGGGACATGAATTCACTGATTTATTTTAACATCACTGGTCAACTATATAATTATGTAATCGAACATAAAAATCCACGAAATTGCGCGACCATCTTCCGTTGTACTGAGGTAGATACCTATCTCTACCCGACATGAATTAGCTCCACTGGTCATGGATTTTCACTAGAAGTTAGACGTTCGCGCACGAAACTGAAGGTCATGGGTTCGAATCCCACAAGGGGATCGTGGATGCGCACTGCTCAGGAGTCCCACAGTAGGACGAGATGGCTGTTCAGTGCTTCCAGGTTTCCCATGGTGGTCTAACATCCGTCGACTCATGATCTCAATCAATCAAAGCAGTCATAATACATATGATCTTAAAAATCAATTGCAAAACTTACAGTGTTGCTATATCAGTCACTTCTAATAATCAGTTAGTTAAGGATATTATAGATAATAATCATACAATTACAGTCTCATCTCGAATAAAATAGAAATGCTGAATTACGATCTCGTTAGTAGACACTTATCATCTTGAATTATAAGTCACTTGCCGCTTTTAGACTTTTGACTAATCGACATTTTTCACGGAAAAAAATGATGCTAGGTTTCTATGAATTAATTTAATAAGAAATAACTGTAAATTAATTACTTATAGGTGATTTAATGATCTGCTTAGTTTTGAAAATATACTGAGAACTTTGATCCACTGTAATATAGTAATATCTATTATGATAATTTGATTATCATGAAGTGTTAAATAAACTAATAATGGTATACAGATTTTTAACTAATTTTGTGTTATAATTTAAGTTTCATAGTTCAAAATTTTCAATCAGATTATTTTTCATCATGTTAATTTTATATATCAAGTTCAAGTGATTTATAGTAAGAAATTGTGAATAAATGAATATAAATGAATAAACATTAACTGGAATAGGATGTAAACGGGTTTAGTACACTAATTAATGGTATACGAAAGGTTCAAATTATGTGACAAATCATTATTATTTTTATTATAGGGTCAATTGAATATTAAATGGAAAAGAGGTGAAGGGAATTTAAACAGCAATCATTTATTTTAAATACTTTAGTTAACGAAATACACCCATTATAACATAAAATAAGAAAGATTGGTTCAGCGAAGAGTTCTCTTTTCGGCGAATTCATTTTCAAAGCTGTGCATTCGTAAATATACATACTTATTTTTCAGGATGATAATAATTATGATAATAAACTTCTGTTAGACATGGTGACATTGAGGCAGAATAAACAAAGGTATTTTGATGGAGTTGTGCTCTTTGAGCTGAATGGTTTGGTCGTGGAGCTTACATCGTTCTTCTGAACGACATCATCAGCACAAACTTCAGGTAGAAGTAAAGTGTTCAAATTTCTCCACATATGTCTTATAACTTGTCCTGTAGACCTTGACTGCGTACAAACTTTTTTCAGGAGGGCGAGGATACACTGCAATACAACGCGGAAAAATAAATAGAAATACCCAACCAACTTCATCAAAAAATGCCAGTTGGATGCATCATCAGGAACAAAGTCAAGTGCAGAAATCAACAAATGGATCACCCTACCATACATAAAAGGCAATTAAGGGATAAGTATAATGAGCGTCAGTTCGTCCTGTTGTAATTTACGACTGCGAAGCGTGACTATTAAGAGTAGAAGATACTCATAAGCTACTAGTATTTGACCACAGATGCCTTAGAAATATTGCTCGCATATACTGGGATCACTGTGTAAGTAATAAGTTAGACTCAAGGTTTTAGAGAATGATGGTAAATTAGTTGATAAGATTGTGAATCTTCATCGACTGAGATGGTTGGGTCACGTATTTCATATGCCTGAACACCGATTACCATGAAGCACAATACTGACTACTGATGGGGCGGCCAAACCATAACGTGATATCAGTCGTTGAAGTCACTAACTTCTAATCTGAGCCATGTTGGTAGATGCAGACTACTTGGTTGGGGTCCGTGTGACTATCGTACCCAATGCTTGGAGACTCTGGATGACGTAGCTCAGAATCGATCACAATGGCGTCAGTGTATACACTATCAATCTTCCTTTAAACTACTAGATTAAAATTGCTTTTTATCTTTCTTTCGACGAACTAATTCTTTCTCTTTATATCATATCCTTATATACAATTTTTCCTTTATATATTACTACCATTAAAGTAACTGGTTCTATGAATTTGGTGTTCATCGTGTTGCGCTATTGAGGTATGGCAACTTGAACTGATGCATATATTTGCCAGCTCCTACGTTGTAGCTAACTGTTTGACATAAAAAGCATAGCAGAAACTGCGACGAGATTGTATAAACTTTTCAGATTAGGTGTTGCACACAAAGCAATAAAATCACTACAATCAATCCTATGCAAACCAAAGGATGAAATGATAAAAGAAGAAAAACCGAACATCATCTACAAAATAAATTGTGCCAACTGCGAAAAACACTACATCGGACAAAGCGGATGCCCTCTTCATCTCCGCCTGCATGAACATCAATCAGCGGTAAAACACCATGACATAACCTCACTTATATCAATGCATGTGGACAATCGCGGATACACATTGGACTGGAAAATTGTGCAAATCTTGGATAGAGGCAATTTTAAAAACATGAGGTAATTTTTAAGAGCTTGGCCTTCAGGTCAATAAGCACATTGAAATCGATTCAATTTATCGACCAATCAGAAAAATTAAGAACAAACATAGGACCAAAAATCAAATTAATGGGAGATACAACCAAAACAAAGAAGTAGACAATGACATTTAAAGTCAACAACAACTAATCAATATCGAGGTCTACAGGACAAGCTATGAGACATGTGGAGAAATTCGAACACTTAACTTCTACCTGGAGTTTGTGCTGATGATGTCGTTCAGAAGAACAATGAAAGCTCCACGAGCAAAACATCCAACTCTGAGAACCCAACTCCATCCAAATCATCCACCTGAGCTACAAATTTTATACACCATCGCAAAAACAAAGGTACTAAAGTTTTTTTAAACAGGGGAACTAATAGTCGTTTGATTGTTAAGGGCTTAAATATTCATCATAAAGATGGGTAGGGAAATTATCATTGGGAAAAGATGGCTCGGCATGATAAGATAAAATCTTGAAATTGAAATGAAGTGTAATCTTTGCTGAGTTAATCTTATTTTAAATTCGACTAACACAAAACGGTGTTGTATTAACAAGGAAAACATCTGAATGGATTAAGTCCATTCACTTCAGTGTTTATATTTATTATCAATTAGGTAAAACTTGTAAATAATTAACGTCTTCAGATAATAGAATTGAGTCGCACTATTTACATATTTTCGGCCGATAATCTCTATCTCACATCGAGAGTATTGTACTCTACCTCTATTTCTTCTTTTTGAAAGTATCACCAGTATTCCCACTTAACAACTTCGAGTCGTGTATACTGATTTATCAAGATAAGTCTAGATAAATTGTTATAATTGAATTAGCTATTTGTTTCACTAATCTGTTGTTAATTATTACCACTGATGCTTTCATTCACTGCAGTGAATGATCAGAGCTACAAAGTGATCACTGTACTTGTCTAGATTGATAAATATATTTTAACATTTATTGTTTTGATAAATGTAAAGTAGAATAGAATCATTAGATCAGTGATCAATCAAACGACATTGATGTTTAAAAAAAAGAGAACAAAATATTTCTAATTAGGACAATAATTATCAACCTTGACAGATGTGATGTCACCTATTCTAAAATATATGAAGTCAGCCTTTTTGAATTTTATTTCAATGATGTTTTACAAAACAATAATTAAAACTTAGTCAATAAACTAGGAAGTATAGAGAGAAAGCAACATGTCGCCAAAAGTAATTATCTCTTGTTTTTCTTTGTTTTTTTTCAAAGCCGTAGTCTACCAGCGTTTTATGAACACACAGTTTGAATGGAAGGTATGTTCTCTTGTATTGTCATGACATAAGTCACTGTATCATATGCCTGTAAATTTTATCGTACAGTAAGTACATATTTCCTGTGACCATTTACACACAGATTGTCATCATAAGTGGTTTTCAATTACGTAGTATTTCAAACTTACGAAAATAATAAAATCCATTGTTTCTGAATGCAATTTAGATCATTTACTTTTACCATCAAATTGTGATAAAATCACTTTCAAAACTAGAATTGAATAGAATACATTCAAGAATAATATACTGTTCAGTACAATAGCACTTGGAACAATGCACAAATGGGTGAATTTTCAACATATAGAGGACAGAAATTTCAAATAATTAGAAGACATGTCCAAGTAAGGGCGCTAAGTGATACTTGGTGTGGATTATATTGTACTTTCTGTATTTCAAATCGCAAGTGATATTTTAAACAAAGAATGGTGCTATAAAAAAACTGAAAGTTCACAGATTTTTCAAACAAATACACAAATAATATAATAGAGTAACATAACTCGAAAGTATTATATATGGTTTTTTGAACAATGTAGATCAGCATAGAATTGAGGATTAAATGTTGGATCTAATCTACCCGTTAAACGTTCGTTCTTCATTTTCTTCAATATCCAATATTCAAGACAATCATACGCTGCATCATAAAAACCATTATAAAATTTATTGGCAAAAAATTCTTGACGTTTTGTTAAATTGTATAAATGTTGTACACCTAACATACATATTGTATGATATCTTTTCCCGGTAGCACATCTTTTGGGTTTCCAAATAACGAAGCGTGATACGAAAGTTGATTGATTATCATTTTCATTAGGTGGATAAAATTTTTTACAAGCACCAGGGGCAAGTAATTGTGGATTATAAGCTAATGTACTGAAAAACATTTCATCTGGTATTTTCATTAAATGTTGTTCTTCTCTGAGAATATTTAATAATTCAATAGAATTGGGATTCATATGTACATAACTGACAAATTCTCTACGTAATGCAACTAAAAAGCTTCCTTTTATCCATGTAACCTTGTTAAGTAACAAAAGATGAATTTAAATAAAATCAATTATGACAAAAGGTACAGATAAACTGTAAATTGAATGGGATAAAAGTGGTAAAAGAAAACAGGATTGTCTACTTTGTGATTAGAGAGGAAAGATTTGCGTCGCAAAATACTTACCCTGAATAGCTTTGTTAACAGTGGTTTTAATAAGATTATATATACGCTTCAAATCGAATGATTGTTTAACAACTAATAGATTTATTTTTTGATTGAGTTTTGTTCTCTGAGCTGGATGATTTAGTCGTGGATAGGCGGAAGACTTCTACCTGGAGTTTGTGCTGGTGGTGTCGTTCAGAAGAACGATGAAAGCTCTACAACCGAAACATCCAGCTCTGAGAACCTGACTTCATCAAAATCATCCACTTGAGATAAAATTTTCTCTACTATCTCAATAGATTTAGTGGAAGATATTAAACTATCATTTATTTCTTATAATGCCTACATGGTTGATTTTGGCACGCTATGGTGTTAAATCTGTCAGTAAATCATGATAAAGATAAAAATGTAAGCTTTAGGTTTGAACTTACATATACAGTTAAGAAGATATACTAAATTTATTTGGTATCAGTTATATCTACTTGAGGATCAATGAGATCAAACAGATAGTCAGTTTAGATCGTTTGTTCTATTTTTTTCCCCACGATTATGATTGATTAATTAATCAACATAATTCATTAAATCAAACAATAAAATCTTGCTTCTTTGTCTACTTTGATATTTGATAATTTTCAGAAAAGTCAACTGATATTTTTGAATCAAAGTGGTTACAAGAGTTATTTGGGGAAATCAATATCGTTCATAGAAATTCTTGAGAAATTGAGAAGTTAAATAAAATTGTTATGTAACAGAAACCAGGAGATAAGTAGTCAGGAAAAAAGTTGTTAAATATAAGTGTTCCCGAAATAATTTATTTCACCATCAGGACAATTTGAAAACCTTCAGCCACGAAATTCATATTACACTGCCTCGTACAATTCAACTGATAAAAATTATGTTTCTTTAAACGTATGTATGTATACGTACAGTAATTATTTAACAACTTTAAAGAATGGAATCGTTTTTAGTTCGACTACTTGGGTAAATATTCTACCTGATTAATTTGTCTGAAAGAATATCTTAGTGAATAAAAGTACACTTTTACACTGTTGCTTTAGGTTTTAAATCTAAACTATAACTCATTTTCATTGATATTACTAGATTCAGACTAGTTTGTACAAGTTAGTGGTACGGCTTTCATACAGCAGTAATGGAAATTAAATAATTACAAAGTATCAACTCTTGAATGTCTAGTAGGTTCTGAGATGTGTTACCATAGGTCTCTTATAAAGGTATCACTTTTCATGAGGTGACTGAAGTAAATTGATAGAAAATACTAAATAAAAGGTATATGAAACTACTAATCATCAATTGTTTTACCAGTATTAATTTTAGTAACCAAGTTGGAGCTTAACCTGTCATTGAAATTATTTAGTTCAAGGATATACCACTTCCATAAAAAGTAAATCGATTAAGTTTATGGGACGATATCATTTGTTTGTTATAGGTACTGAGAAATCGATTGATTTCTTTGATTGTTCTTTAACATTTAATGTTTGAAGTCATTTTTTTTATTTATTATTTTACAAACTTTGTGTAATCACCAACTTTTACTAGTAAAAACTATCAGTCAAGTAATATTAGAATTTTATTAGATTATTTTAAACTTAAAATTAACCCACATTGAATGATGGTTTTCTATGTGGAATTCTTTTCTTTGGTCCATTTTTTATTGTACATCCAATAATATTAGCTCCATTCAATGCTTTCAATGCTTTAATTAATTCCCAATTAGTACGTAATGGTAATTCTTTTCCATTAATATTCATAACATATTTCCATTGAATTTTTTTATTATTTAACATAATTTGTGTACATTTAAGAAATGAATCTAATACAGAAAAATAACCCCATTTTACTGAAACACTATGTGAACGTTTAATTATTTCAATATTATTACCAAAACATTTAGCTAAATCAATTATAGATTGATAAAATTCATTTGATGTATTACGATCAACATGTATACAATATAAATTATATGGTCTATATAATAAACGTAATAAACGTGCTATACGATCTATATTTTCATAAACTGTAAATGCAAATCCAATTGGATAATTTAATTCTTCTTTATTTATCCATAATAAATATTGAAATGATTTACGAAATAATTTACAATCATTTATTGATTTCCATGAATATAATAAATGTTGTTTTGTTGAATAATTTTCATATTGCTTAGCAACTAATTGATTTGGTTCTATATTTAAAAATGATTCACAAATATTTGTTAAATTCATATCTAAATTTTGATAATTTAATGAATGATTATATAATAATGATAATTTATTTATTTTATTATTAATTGTTTTATTAAATAAGATAATTATAAATAAAATAAATAAACAAATATAATAGAATCTTTTGATAAATAATTTACGATAAATTGTATTCAATGGACTCATTAATATCAATTAGGTATCTTATAATGGATTATTAAATAGAAATAGAATTAATTATAATTTTTACATTTTCATTGTATTTTATGAATAAATATTGACTATTGAGAAAATCTATTTTATAATACAATTCACATTAGAATATAAATAGAATATAAAGTACACTCACTATAAAGGGTAATCATTCGATGAGTCTATTAATTGTAAGTTAATAATTATAAAAACGACATATTTCCAAGTTTCTGATTGGTTAATTTCTGATATTTTGTTAGTGTGTAATTTGTAAAGTAAATTTTATAAATGATTAATTTAACTGTGAATTATATAAGTTGAAATCATGAGTCAATTGAAGCTAGACCGCTATGTAAATCTGGAAGCACTGGACGGCTATTTCGTCCTAGTATGGGACTCCTCAGAAGTGCGCATCCACGAGCCCAGGACCTACTGGTTTCGCGCGGGAGCACTTAAACATCAGACCACTGAGCCGGAATTCAACGGTGTTAATATCTAACTTCAACCAATCCACGAAGTTGCGCCAACGTACACCATTGTCTTCAATGAGCTGATATCTAGAAACAGAACTGGCTGAACTCCACTTTCAACGGCTTCTCACTAGAACTCCAGAAGAATCTCTTGAAGTCAGTCACTAGTGAGCAGATGATTATTATCAGAAGTGGTTTTGTGGAGATTTTTAAAAAGTTCACAGGTTGAAATACTAAGTCAATTAAAGCTAGACCATCAAGGAAAACCTGAAAGCAGTGGACGGCCGTTTCGTCCTAGTATGGGACTCCTCAGCAGTGTGCATTCACCATCATGCATAAATTTACTTTCATCACTGAGATTTGATAATGTCTTACTTTTACATTCACATTTGTTCTTGACAATCACGCCAGATCTTTGATCAAGCTTTAACAAGACAATATCAGGGTTTGTTCGTACTTATTTTAGTGATTTAAAATGCTGAATAGTTAATATGCTTCTCTGCTTTGGTCCACGATTAAGGATTGGTGAGCTATATCCAACAGTTTAGCTTTGTATCAGCTTTGATTATTTAAAGACATAGGGGTTAGCGTACTCAGTTGATCCAGTATCCGACACTGGATGTCAACTAGTCAAGTAAGAACAGGTGAAATCCCACATCCACATAAAAACTAATTCATGCCCTCTGCTAAACCAACAAATTTGAACGTGACACGGATAAATATTCATCAAACTTTAGTTATTTCGACTGGAATTCAATAAATATTTCGCTTTCATTCACTTTCATTACCAACATGATTGTCTGTGGATTCGAAATGGTCTAACGAATTATCAGCAAACTCAAATAACCTAGAACTTTTCCAACACCCAATCAAGAAGTCCAATTCCAAGTAGTCACAACAAAACTGTAATTGATAATTATGACAGATTAAAAGACAACACAAAACATTTAACTGTACAGTAGTTATATTGTCCGATTACCACAACTGACACACGTGTCCGCTATCAGCTGAATGATCAGTTCAATCAACAACCATTATCATCCGATTACCCATACTTAGAATTATAATTCCTGTAGATGGTTGAGAGCCCTCACTCACTTGTTTAAAATCACACGGATAACTGTACTGATAGATGGACTTTCTTACCTCGACAGAAACTACCAAAACAGTGTGATCGATGCCAGTCAGTTGAGAAACACCCCACTGTTGAGGTGATCCAGAAATTGCTTGCAAAAGACAAGCAAGCATCAAGAAACACTAAGAAGTGTTTCGTCCAATCAGCGTCCACTCCGAGTCTTTGCCAGAAATATCAAGGTAACGAAACGTTACATGCGGAAGCTCTGATTGGCTGGCTACTATGTTTAGTAGCATTCCAGAATATTCCAGCGACCCAAGGAAATATTATAAAAACCCTATATTTTCTGTAATAGAATGAACCTTGGAGTAAAGTACTTTCCTTCATACTTGTGTCTCTGGTTTTCAAGTCGCTGTGTAGTTCTAGCTTGCGTGTTACCAGAATAGCTTAGGAAAACTAATATAGCGTTCAATCAATAAGACTTATCACCCACGAAAATACTTTCACAGCATCGGACACATCCAGAAGTGCCTTGGTCAAAGTGACAACAACAACAGCAATAATAATAATAATTTACACACAAACCAAAATTAGAAAACATACACGGATATGAAGAAGTCTACCAGGAAAACTGAATCTTCACTGGTAAGCATACACCCAGGATTAACACAGGTCATCTGACCTACTATTATTCTTATTACGGACGACTATATTGAATCCTCAAGGTTGAGCGGATTCCCGTCTAGTTGATGTTAAATTTAGTTCTCGTGAAAATGTCATTCATATTCCAACCAGTCCAAAAGCAGTGCATGAACAAACCTGATCATCCTTCTTATCCTAAGATGTTTGTACGGTGTCCACCTCTACTCTGGCCATTTGCTTAATTCAAACTCACGTTTTTTATTCTTATTCCAGAATGAGATTATGCTCACCAAATCAGTCTTCATGACTAACGTAAATGGCTGACTGACTAACGTTTTCCGTAATTTTACTCCTTACTTTCATCATCGTTCTCATAAATGACATTGATTTCGAACATATATTCTTGATTGATTTACAGCCACGTGACTCGATTGACTTTTTCTATTCAAAATTTGAATGGAAATAGTCTATATAATATCAGTCTGGAGCGATGATAATCAGTTCGTAAAAACGCATTTGCCGAGCGGTTTCACCGTATAACGCTCGCAAATAAATAATTATATCGATGAACAACCATATGGATTCCGAACAAACATGTCTCAATGACTGTTATTACCACTATTACTACTGCAGCTACTACTACTACTGCTACCAATACTACCAATGTGATTACTACCACTATTACTACAATTACCACTATTATTGTTACTACAATTGTTGTTGTTATTATTATTATTATTATTATCATTATTCTCCAAAAGAACTTACTGATTACGATGAACAAATAAAAGAAAAAAACACAGTTTTACATGGCAGATTCATATGATCAAGGAGAAAAATGTCAAACAATAATGTAAAGCTATGTAAAACCGGGACATGTTTAAAACGTCCAGGTCAGGCAATCAAAAAGCCTGGACGTCATGTCCATTTTGCAATATAAAAAATGAAAATAAATTTTCTAACTATTCACATTTGTGTTTTTGATTGTTTTACCAGTCGATAGTGTATGGGGTATCGTACGTGTCACTGTGGGATGAATGTGAATCGCATGGAATTCTCATGAATAATAAATTCCAGGAAGTCGACCATTTCAGAGCACAGATTCAAAGAAATCTCGACTACTGAGTGTACACGACAGTATTTGATTTCGGATAAACAGAAGCAGCAATAGTAGAAATAGTATTATTATTATCAATATTGTTATTATCATTATTATTATTATTATTATTATTATTATTATTATTACTAGTAGTAGTAGTAGTAGTAGTAGTAGTAGTAGTAGTAGTAGTAGTAGTAGTAGTAGCAGTAGTAGTAGTAGTAGTAGTAGTGGTAGTAGTAGTAGTAGTATTAGTAATAGTAGTAGTAGTTTTTGAAATAGCAGCAGTAGTGGTATTATTATTATTACGAATATTAACGTTAGTGAATTTCCTCCGTGAATGGATGCTCATCATCTACTGTTATTGGATCACTTGGTTTTATTTGTTTTTGCAACCAATTAGGTACATGTTCGCACACCCTAATTTGGAGATCACGATTACTCCTCCACATGTATATGTGGCCACACACACATTCAAATCGATGAGCACAGTGGCATGTGACGCAATCGTTTCCATGTCTTTTACGTTTTTGCTGAGACATGGACATTGTTTTCTCTTTCATAAAGACCTTTGGTGCGTAATACGTCCTATTAACAACTTATTTGAGCCTTTGTTTCAGTAAAAAGCTATTTGAATCACCTCTAAACCGGGAAATGATGTAGACAAGTTTCTTTCTGCCAAGGTTATAGTAGGCCTCAGCATACCGTGACCTTTCCATCTATTTATGAATTTTAAGGGATAGCCAGTTTCCACTAATGTTTTGTTTAACAACCTAACGTCATCATCAATAGCGTCGTTTGTGTAAATACGATTAATCCTATTAAACAGACCTCATTTGTATTGCACTGGGCAAAAACTATTGTGACTAAGGTATTGGCCTTCAACGTTGGTTTTCGAAAGACGGATCGTTTGCTTGAACCATCTTCTCGTCTACTTATTAGCATATCTAAGGAGAGAAGCCGGTCATTCTTCTCCTCTTCACATGAAAGGCTGATGTGATTTTGCAGAGTGTTAAGTCTACTCAATAAACAATTCATATCGTCCTTTCTTTCACAGATAACTAAGAAGTCATCTTCATTGTTATGATTTTATGCCTTCTATCACGTGACTTGTCCACGAATCAGAACACGACTTCTACAAATCTTCACACTACGCCAAACCAGTGACTTTCAACTGGTATGAGCAGTCTAGCGTCCTCATTGGTCCTATGTCCTTCTAGCCCATCCACTTGAGTCCAGAACACAATACCAGCTTCTACAATATGAATCAAATCGGATCATTTACTTCAGACATACTCGGTTTATATATCAATCAGACAGACCACAACGTACCATAAAATAGGAAATAACATGTGTACACAACTAAGCCAAAAAGTGGCTGCGAACGCGGGAGATAGTAATTAATAGACTGAACATAAATTAAGAACCGTAAATCGTTTAGTAATAGATTATAAGTCAAAATAAAGCTTATAATAAGGGGAATATAAATATACATAATGTAATTATTGAAGTTATATAATAAGAATATTTATAGAATATCAGTCCATTAATAGTCCTCAGAATCTACCCGTAATTTAATCTTCACTCGAATATAACATTCCTATCTCTTATAAACAGACATGTTTACGACTAGGTCTTCAGCTAGATTTGCAACATGTGTTATGAACACATATGCTAATAATAGTCTAATGGACCAACCATAGCAACCAGTCGATCTGGCAAAACTATTCACCTTCAAATATGAACTGGACGTTGTCAGTACATAATAGTGCTAAATCTTTAAGAATTTTTAAAGGAACAGGTAATTTTTTTAAGGCTGTTCAAAGATGTGTGGCGACATAATATATCAATAGTCGTTTTCAGAGGTATATTTGTGAACAGGGAATTCACGTCAAATGAACACATTGTCTTTCTCTTGATATTAATATAACATAATTGATCGACCAACTCGAAAGAATCCTTCACAGAATACTTATATAAACGTGTTCCAACAAGATCCAGCAATTTAGCTCCCTTATGTCTAGGTGATCGACACACTGATAAACTTGGGTAATTCATGTAAATGACGATACTCAGAACCAATGGGTTTTAGGAAATTAAATTCCTGTCTACCAATAATATTCATGTGTAGCAGTTTCACTAGGTTTGAATTTATTCTTCCCTCTACTTCTCTAAAACCTGCAAATTTACGATCATGCATAAATTTACTTTCATCACTGAGATTTGATAATGTCTTACTTTTACATTCACATTTGTTCTTGACAATCACACCAGATCTTTGATCAGGCTTTAACAAGACAATATCAGGGTTTGTTCGTACTTATTTTAGTGATTTAAAATGCTGAATAGTTAATATGCTTCTCTGCTTTGGTCCACGATTAAGGATTGGTGAGCTATATCCAACAGTTTAGCTTTGTATCAGCTTTGATTATTTAAAGACATAGGGGTTAGCGTACTCAGTTGATCCAGTATCCGACACTGGATGTCAACTAGTCAAGTAAGAACAGGTGAAATCCCACATCCACATAAAAACTAATTCATGCCCTCTGCTAAACCAACAAATTTGAACGTGACACGGATAAATATTCATCAAACTTTAGTTATTTCGACTGGAATTCAATAAATATTTCGCTTTCATTCACTTTCATTACCAACATGATTGTCTGTGGATTCGAAATGGTCTAACGAATTACCAACAATCTCAAACAGGTTCATTTTACAAGTATATGAAACTAGATTTTTTAAAATGTCTGCTTACTTGCCCACTTGACAGAAATTTTAATTGGATTAACTTGTTTACACATTTAATGAAAAGTATATGAAGTTATGGATTTAAAAATCTTGTCTACATGTTTGTTTTCTATACTGACAATATAGTTCAGTTTTACGAAAACTAATTAAGGCTAAATGATCTTTGAATTATGACTACTTTTTTATTTGACATAATTTTCAAACAAGTGAACTTATTTACTTATTTGACAAAAGCTTAACCTAGTTACATGATTTTCACATGTTAATAAGAAACAGCCGTTTAGTGTTTCCAGGTTTTCGATGATAGTCTGACACTAACCGATTCACGATTTCAATAACAGTCAACAATCTCCACAAGGTTTTAAAATACGTGTTAATTTCAAGTAATAACGATGTCCATCTAGAAAATATAGTCATAAGAAATTAGTTTATATGCTTATTTATTTATCACTTGAATGATTTATTCATTATACCAATTGCTTCCATTAAATTGAAAGATTATTTCAAAAACACCCTTGAAATGCCATTTTCGTAGGATGCTTAATAATCTTTGAATTAGTTAATTTTGAAGTGACATATATGTGGATGAGATAACATCTTGCTCCTAAAGAGTATCACGCAGCCTACGAGGAAAAGATTTTACTGGTACGAAGTTCGTTAGATTTACCACTCCCCTCTATCCTCTCCCAATTACTGTAGACATTTGGCTACCTATAATATCGAGTTTGACAACAAGGTCGATTCCATAAGTCGGTAAGAAAAACAGGGGATATTATTTGGGGGAATATTAAACTAATTGAAATAGACCATAGAATGATATCTAAAACAAAGAACTAATATTAGGACATAATACAAGCAAAGTCAGATTGTGGAAAGCAGTGGAATTCAAAACACTCATTTTCTCCTATTTGGGACTCAGCTGAGTGTACAAGCATGTACACATCATATAGTACAAGAATCACAGAATTTATTTTATAGATAGCATATATTTTTTCTTGAAGCGTGTAAATAAGTTGACTAATTTTATCGACTCCTTAAACTAAGTAGTAATTAATCGGTGGAGGTCGCTTACAAACTTTAGTATAATAAGTAACATACTAGTAGAAAAGCATTTTCGTCGACTGAAAGTCAAACTAACTAACACTCAAATTTAATTAAGTTACCGTAACTAATTTGACATGTAAATGTCAGATATTATAAACTGATTTTAACAAGGAAATCACGAGTTAATGTTATTGAGTATAATTAATATAAGTTTTTCACTCGAATAAATCATCATACGTTTTAAAATACTAACACCGCATCACACCAATGGTATATAGTAGTAACACAACTTACAAATTGACTGAAAACACCCTTTCACATACCACAATATATCGTGTAGATATATTTAGATAATAGAATAATTGAATACATGTATGCTTCAGAAGATCGAGCAATAAGTTACCATATCAAGTAGAGAAAAAAAAGTAGCATTCAAGAGAAACCTGTACTTTGTGAATTACTTGTTACTGATAAACATTATTTCGAAAAACCTTGCAATTTTTAACATAAATTAGGTATAGTCATTATTATTACTACCCTGAATTATACCTGTCTCTTCAGTGAAAAATTGACGTCTTCCACCTATAATTCCTATGAATACTTTACCTATGTGAACATGACTCTGTGTCTGAATTTAGATATCGTAATACTTATTGAATTTCTTACTATTATTGTAACTGTGAGCACTGACAAAACGTGATACATTTTTTCCTATATAGTGGAGAATGTGCGGTAAATAGCAGTAGTTGTGAAATTCCTTTTTTACATTGCATCCTACAGTACAAATCTAATTACTTAGGAAAGAAATTTTCCTAAGAAGTTTAAAGGAACGCATGTGTAAACTGATAAACGGAAAAGGATATGAATCAGTGGTTGATAAATTGTTTATATTTTCGAATTACCATGAACTCGTTTGTCAAATATCATGTAACAGTAATTGCAGTACGTACAAATTGTTTTAAATCTTCTGGTATTTCAATTAAATTCTTGACAGACACATATAGTGTGCATGTGATTATGATTTATTTTAGACGGTTAAGTTAGACCACAAATTGAAAGATGTACAGCTGGCTGGCCGCGGATAAAAGGAAAAAAACATCTCCATATTTTTTGTTTCTGAATACTTTCAAATAAATAATAACATTTCAGACGTCCTCGTTAATTCAAGACAATGCTGTTGATATCATTAATTCTATTCTAACATTAAGTCCATATTGTGAAGTGCGTAAATCGACGATCAGTCGTGTCTTCAGTAAAAGATATCATAAACCATATAGTTTATAACAGAATAAACTTCAATTTTTAATTGAAATGATCTTGCGATATCATATGTGTATTTATCAACTCATACCAAACTAATTTTTGATTACATTTCATTCTCAAATTTCATGTGCAAGTCACCTACAAAATAATATCAACAAATAATGTCAACAAACTGGTAAGGAAATACTATAACACTGGAAGATCTCAGTCAGTGTTGAACGATAATGTTTTGAGAATAACCTTCACAACTACAATAATATTAGTAATTATAATAATGGTCAAGTTATTGAAGTC